TTTTTTTTTTTTTTGGTTCTCTCTGAAAAGAACTGCTGCTAACAACTTTCTTTTGCCCATTTCTACTTATACAGCTGTCCGAGTGGCTAGAATCCAAAGAATGCTTCGAGCCCTCAAACGCCAGCTACGCCTCCCGAGTCGACCTGATCGCCAAAGTGCGAGGACTCTACAAAGCCGAGGATTACATCAATCAGATACCCGAATCCTTCAAAGGCGAGCTCGTCTATCGAACCCTACTCGCTAACTCTGTCTCGTTCAACAACTTGAGGAAAGCCGAGGCGACATTCAACAAGATGAAAACTTTAGGCTTTCCCATGTCGTGCTTTTCCTGCAATCAGCTCCTCCTTATCTACAAACACACGGACAGGAAGAAACTATCCGATCTCCTTCTTCTAATGGAGAAAGAAAAAATAAAGCCCTCTACCTTCACGTACCAGATCCTCATCGACATCAAGGGCCAATCGCACGATATTCCTGCCATGGAGCAGATCTTGGCCCAGATGAAGTCCGACGGGCTTCAGCCCACCACCCAGATACAGGTGAACATGGCCCGCCACTACGCAGCCCAAGGGCTCAAAGACAAAGCCGAAGCCATTTTGAAGGAGATCGAAGGCGAAGAAGGGTTGGAAAAAAACCGATGGGCCTGCCGGTGGCTTATGCCCATCTACGCCTTGCTCGGCAGAGAAGACCAAGTCGAGCGAATATGGAAAGTCTGCGAAAACGACAACCCGTGGGTGTTGGAGTGCTTGACAGCTGTCGAGGCTTGGGGACAGCTGTCGAGGGTTGACAAATCCGAGGAGGCTTTCGAGAAGCTCTGTAAAAAAGTGAATAACCCAAACTCGAAGCAGTATGCGGCACTTCTCCGCGTGTATGCGAAGAACAAAATGCTCGATAAAGGAAAAGAGCTCGTGAGGCGAATGGGGGAGAGCGGACGCGAGCTGGGCTCTACTTCTTGGGACGCGCTCGTGAGGCTTTATGTTGGAGCTGGCGAGGTGGAGAAGGCAGACTCGGTTCTTGCGAAGGCCGTGGAGCAGAGGAAAGGGAGGCCTCTTTTCGTGACTTATTTGGCGATAATGGAAGGTTACGCGGGGCGTGGTGACGTGCACAATGCGGAGAAGGTCTTGATGATGATGAGGCGAGCGGGTTACTCGTCGAAGCTGAAGCCTTACCAGATTCTTTTGGAGGCGTATGTGAAAGGGGGGAAAACAGCTTATGGGATGAATGAGAGGTTGAAGGCGGAAGGGATTTTCGTGAACGGGAAGATGGCGAGGCAGTTGGCCAAGATAGACCCGTTTAGGAAGACGAACGTGTCGGAACTGATCGAGTGAGGACAGGCTTGGATGGCTTTATGCTTTTTTTTTTTTGGTGTGTTTATATATGGATGAGACCTTGGGATCTGCTGTGTAAACTCTGAAGTGTGGTTAGTTTGGTGGTGAATTCTCTCTAGTAGTATGAAGACATTGTGTGGATTAAGTTATTCCATTTGGGATTTTTTCAGTTTAGCATTGATTATTGCTTGGCAAAAATGCATTCTGCTCGTTTAACTCTATAGCAATATTAGTTCCACTCTTCTAACTCTTCGTCTTTTGATATTGTGATTTGATATTTTGGTGCAAAT